ATGGACGGACAATTACAGACGGCCCTTCTACTATCTACTGCTTCCATATTATCTATACCTTTAGTATTAGCATAAACAATTTACAGACAAAGGGTAAATCAAAGGATTACTAAACGATGAATTATATAGCTTTTGCAAATCCTACCCTGAGATTGCCGAAGTCAAACACTGTGTGGTATGCTCCCAAGAACAGAGCTCCAAGAACCCTGCAGAATGTGCTCATTTCATGACATTCTTGCATAAACCTTAAAATGAAGATCTTATGCGAGGTGAAGAATCACAACGAATCATGAAGTAGAACCTAAAGGAGGGTCATAGTGACTTACCATAGAGGACCTTGCGGGGGAGGCACATCCAAAGCAACAAATCCACTAAGGCAGACAATAGAACATTTTCCTTCAACTTTAAGTATATACTGAACATCAAGTCCAAAACATGTTAGAAATGGAGTGAATCTAAAGGAAATTGGTTTAATTAAGTTCCTTTCTAAACATTTGAGTTCTATCTTAACAAAACCGTGCTACTTATGTTACAAAGTGTGGACTAAGAGCTATAACAAAACCTGTACCTGTTCTGGGGAGAGGGTGAAGGATTTGTTCCCAATTGTAAATGAAACATCTGGCATGAATGCAATGTTATCACAGTTGACAAATGACCTTCTCAACGGATTCGGAAGCTTCTCGCACAACTTTACTCGCAAAAAATTCACAAAGAAAGGAAAGAATCAAAAGAATTTTTAGCTTTGGTGTATGCATATTTATCAGTCAAGCCTCAATACTTTCAGAAGAATTACCTCATTCACATAGCTAAATATTTTTTCCTTCGCTATTTGCTTTTTAAGCTGCAGCTGAATCCAGTAGACAACCATTTCACACAAGGTACATTGAGGAGTTTCATCAACTGATGACTCCTTCCCAGTTTCATTCTCTATCACTGACTCAATATAGTTTCTGCAGAAGTAAATTTTGCCTTCTGCTATGGTTATTATGATGAAGATATAAAAAACTGAACAAAATAAACAAAATAATAATTGGAAGAAAAAGAAAAAGTCTCAACTTCACATTACGAGATCCATCATATGAACATAGACCGATATCCACACACACTATATCAGGCCGTACCTGCAGACATATGAGGTAAACTCTACTGCATTTCTTCATTTCCAAAAAGGAATTGCAAAGGAAGTGAAAAGGGAAAAAATACGAACCCCAGATACTAGATATTCCCATATCAAATTTCCATAAGTGGAAACAACATTTTTACATTCCAAGTTTGCATATCCGTCTGCTCCAATGGCATGGTTGATCTGAGCCACTATAGTCTGTAAAAGAAGAGTTAATCAAGGGTGGAATACAAGTTGTTACTGCTCAAAGTCTGAAGTTTTAAGCATGAGTTTATACAGTTGGACCAGCAAGGAAGGATGTTCCTGAGTCCACAATGGCAGCACAGCCACCCTTGCATAGTCCTGAAAATTTTAAACTTTCATGTCATATGATTGTAAATTGAATAAAAACAGAATCAAGTTATTTGGTTTTTTTAGGCCTCTACATATGTTTTTGGGAGAATTTTTGGCTTGTCAAGACCAGACATGTACATGAATTCCTTGACTCACCAAGCAGCAAATTTAATCTCTAAACATAGAATAAAGATAGTTAAACAACGTAGGAGTGGAAATGTAGTAGAACCTGTGGAATTGTCTGCAACAATAACATCTCCAACATCAATCTGGAGAGATGAACAAAACTGAATCAAATGTCATCTCATTTGGCAAGAAAAATATATTAGAGAGGAACACCAATTTCTTTTTGCTATAATAAACCTGCCAGTAACCCTTTTTTGAAATCGGGACATAGGTGTGATCACCCGTAAAGTGCCTCCAATCAAATCCACCAAAGACGATCTCACCTCCCACCCTTGATGTTGGATCATGATTTAGCCAGATAGAGAAAATTTGCTGGCTCATATGACCTTGTTGCACCATGTTATACCTGCACCCAGAAAACTAACTCATGCTTTTAAGCCATCAAAACTCCTTTTATATTTTTAATCAGCTGGGAGTGGGGATTCAAATATGAGATCTAATCCAAGTTCCAACGCTAAGATGAAAAGTACGACTAGACTAAAGCTAGTTAAAGATATATCAGGTTTAAGCAGTTTATGCCAGAAACATACCACACTGGTGTGGCTTCGCCAACAGAAATATCCTGAAATCCAAGTCCAAGGACCCCATCAAACCGTGCAGCTAAGAATGTAAGGACTCCTTCCCTTGTAACCTCAACAAATTCCTAAAGGATGGAAACCAGACATAGCATCAACAAATTGGAAAAAGAAAAAGTGTAAACAAAAAAAACTTTAGATAAACCAAAATGGAAATAGAGAAAGAGCACTACTTGATCTTTGATGATCACATCCCCAATTTTAACGTTGTCTGCACTGAAGTAGCCGGAAATGGAACCAGAGCCATAAGGAATTTTGCAGGGTATTCCTAAATAATAACACGAAGTAATTTTGAGTTTGATTCTAACAAAAATTTCCCACAAGAAATCTTCTGTGTCAATTAAAAAATTAAAAAAAAGGGGTCAGTTAGATGCATACTCAAATGTAAGGGATGGGAAAGATTACCAATTTTGGTGTAGGTACTCGATATGCTTGCCCTGTATTTTGAATGAAAGTAACAAGCAATCTGCATACAGTCACACTTTAGAAACTACTCAAAACTCTAAGAACACCATAGATTCAAAGCATTTTGATAATTCACTGCCATACTTACAGAAAAGATGCATCTTGAAGATGGGACCCAAAGATTGGCGCTGCCAGTATCAAAGACAACAGCCAAGTATTGTGGGGGAGACCCAATAGCAATCTCTCCATAATATTGGGTATCAAAGTAATTTTTCAGATATACAATATTAGATTTAAGATTATTGGAGTTAATATTTACATCCCCCAGACCTCTAGGTTGAGAAACTTCTGTCTTGGTGATTCTTGCAGCATTCAATCTGTTGAGGCCTACAGGCTGCTTCTTGAGACCAATTCTCAGTAGCCCATCATTGGATATTGCAGCAGCCAAGGAGCCTGACCAAACCCAAATACAAATTGCAACCAGAAGACCCTTAAACGCCATGCTCATAGAGCTCTCTGGCTCCAGCCATGACAAAAAATAAATACAGTTTTAGAAGAATGAGCTCCACAGCTGTACAAATTGGACTGTATGTATTAAAGCTGGGATTAACTATCCATTTGCATTCAATTTCAGAAAAGTCTGTCTGAAATTTTTAAGTTTTCCCTACCAACTTCAAAAAATTCTTATAAATCAATCATACTGCAAAATTTTTGACACGATGAACAATATAATAATCAATCTGACAATACAATATTATTACAATATCTATGCTTAATTCACATAGTAAACAGCTATTAACATGCCAATGTTGGAATTTGAGTTACTAATACTGATGGGTCGTAATGAGAAACAAAGTTCATAGTTTCATACCTCACTGGCATTGGCTTTACGTGGTGAATTGTGCGAGTGATCATGAGTAGCTCAATGGGCTAACCTTTTTGTCCACCGTTTTATAGAACAGATGGAGAGAGAGAGAGAGAGAGAGAGAGAGAGAGAGGGAGAGAGATTTAGGAAACCAGAAGGCAGTTTCCAGGTCCGTGCGAGTTAAGAATTAGCCAAAAGAATATACGGAGACAGCCACGCATCTTTGGTTGTAGAGTTTGCTGCTATGCCACAAGAGGATCATGCCTACAATTTCGTGGCCTTACAAATTACAATCACTTCTGTGCAAAATGCAGACATGCAATTCATCTAGCAAAGAAGGAAAAAAAGAAAACAAAATAAGTACTTAAAGTGGGAAATGCATGTGGCAAAGGGTCATGCAACAGTTTGTTGAGTAAGCAATAATCGGTTACTTTTATGTTGGGTTCAATAGGACAGTGTTCTCGTACATCGAAGCATTGAACAACATTAATTATAACATCAAGCAGGCGATTGACCTTAAGGAGTTTGTTTAATAATGATTAATGCTCTAATGGCTAATTACAAGAAACATACAATTTCCTTGTATAATTAAAACGAGCAATGCCGAAATAGGGGAGACTTGAACACGGGAATGACACCAATTGTAATTGTCAATTATCACAAGGGAGCTATTATTGCCACTCCTGAAAAGTCATAACTTCCTTTAATATAGTGGAGGAATGATTACTTTTTTGAAATGTCAATAAGACCTCCCTCGTTACAAATCGTCCCTTAATACTTGTGTTTCAAAACAAAAATCAAATGTGTTGGGAGGCTGACAAACAAAAAAGTTTAAGAGTTTAAACACTCGAGTAAGCCTTCATTTTACCAATAAAAAAAAGGGAGTTTCACTAAAACACCCAAAATGGAGGTTGAAATTATAAAAAAATCCAACACCCAAAACACTTTATAAACACACTCAAAACCCATAATTACACACACTCAAAACCCATTTATAAACACACCCAAAAAGTTGACTTTGAGGTTGATTTTGGGTGTGTTTCTATGTTTAAATAGTGCTTGGATTTTTTTATAAATACATGTTTAGGATTGGGTTTATTTATAAATTTGTATAAAAAAAAAAGTAAAAAGAATTTCTTTGCAACTAATACTTTGCCTTTTCTTTTCCTTTATTTAGAAAATAAATAATAAAAAAAAAAGGAAAGAGGGAATTTGGGCTTTGGTGGGCCTATCTACTTATGGGCCTAAACAGAGCTTCGAAGCTAAGATTGGGCTGGCCACTAAATTAAAGAGTTAGCCCAAATCACGAGTGTAACGGCGGGTAGATTGTTCATCATCATCTTCATTAAACGAAAAAGAAAACTTTTTGTAACAAAAAAAAAAAAGAAAAAAAAAGAAGAAAACTTTTGGCGCTTGGGGGACGTTCACGTCTCCAAAAGGGCAAAATCAAAAACCCAAAATACTCTGCAAAGTCCGAGAGTTTGATTCTTACTTTCTCAGTTTCTGTTCAAGAATGGCGTTGGAGGACGACGACTGGGACTTGAGCGCCGAAGAACTCGATTCTCTCGAAAGAGACGCTTTCCAGAAACTCGCTCAGCAATGCATCAACTCTGCTTCTGCTTGTTCTTCCTCTTCTTCTTCTTCACATAATCACCACCAGCTGCATCCGTCTTTACTTCCACGAATTGCTTCCAAAGCTCCCCTGCAAAACCCATTCCCAATTCTCTTCCTAACAAGGTGGAACTTTTCTTTTTTCCCGTTTCCTTCTTGAAGTTTCTAGGGTTTCAGATACCTGATTTTTTGACAGTGTTATTTCCTTTTCACTTTGTTCTTTCTTCATTTCTTCATTTTGAATTATTATCCTGCTTTTGGGACTTTTTATTTATTTATTTATTTATTTTTTAATAAAAGAAATATATATATATATATATATATTTAAAGTTAACACCTTCACTACCTTCATTGTCATTTTGGTTTTTTAGGATGTGCTGTAATAAACATATTTATTTGGCAACAATGCAGGTAGCACCTCTGTCTCCTGGGACCACTGGCGGACCTAGAAATTTTTTAGCAGAGGTGCAATATTGGTATGAAAAATGGTTTTTTGGAATAATCATTTTCTCAAGATAATTTTTGGCGGCTTTTATTCCTTACACATCAAATAAGAAAACTTGATTTTATGGGATTTTAGTATGAAGTATATATTGACTTAATGAACCATCATTTTTAGCCTAAATCGTATTTTGCACTAAAACCGAATTTTCATATTTTGATTTGGTGGAAATTTGATTTTCTAGTATTTTTATTTGAATCCAAATGGGGGGTACTTCCTTATTTACATTGTAAACTTAAGTAAATAGAGTAATATAAAAATAAATAAAAGTAAAA